CTTTTATCATTTTTTTTGATGTTTCGACCTTGTTTACTTCCATATCTCATACCAAACTGATGGAACGCCTTCGTTCTCTTATCAAGAGAGTTTTTTCTCCAAGAAAGGCGAATGGTGATATCCGCATATTGTTGTAAATGAGCATATTTTATGAAGAGCACAATGGCCATTTTGAAATTGCCTGAGGACGGATTTGTGAGAATGATTGAGTTCCTGGTTGACAAAATCATTGTTGAGACTGTTGGCAGGACTTTACCAGCAGACTGTAGGCATTACTGTGACCGTCTAATGGCGGAATTGTTTCCATAGGAATCTGAATGTATTGATGAGCTTATCTGGACTGGTAGCACGGAGGCACGCTAGTCTAGTGGTAGAACGTCGGGCTCGTGACCGAAGGGTTGCGGGTGCGAGTCACGAAAAGGCACTGTGTTGTATCTTTGAGCAAGATACTTTACTCCGCTTGTTCCAGTCTACTCAGCTGATAATGAGTACGTGGTTTGGCAGTGCTAGAATGCTAGATGTGAGCGCCGAAATGGCAGCACCGGCTGTATGCTCCCTATGGAGTTGAGAAAGATATTGGCTGGTTGCAAAGGCCCTATAACCACGGCTCAAAGATACAACACAGTGGCGTGCTGTGACTCGGCCCCGCAACCCTTCGGTCACGAGTCCGGCGTCCTACCACTAGACTACCATGCCTCTTGACCAAGATTTACATGTCGGGTGGCGTCGATGAAGCAGGAGATGTTGACTTTTCTGGAACACTTATTCTTTTACTTTTATACGATACAAGATTTATCTTTATTTACCGATGTGTTTGATTGAGCAGACCTTATCTTGCGACAAAAACAATAACACAATACAAAACAACAAATATATATATCACAGCACGTATCAAAAGTAGTAAGAGAAAGCACTAACGCTTAACGTCAAGCGAACATGATGCTCATATTCTTTCTGTTTTTCGCCATATTAACAGTTTTGGTCATTTAAGGACGTGCCAGATTTTGGTGGTGGTAGAGGAAAGCCGGAGTACCGAGCGGTAACTTGACCACCGACCTGCGGCCAGTACCTGGCGACTGTACCACGTAGGACTCGATACCACGATCCATTGGTGGAGGGTTCGTGGTAGCAATATGGAGAAAAATAAATCATGATCATAGCACAAAGATATATTATAAGAAGCAGCATAAAATGTAACGGAAGCACACTTCAAAAGAAACGTTGCATTATTAAAACATCTTCTGAAATATATTCAAAATCGCGTTATCTCTAGTCGAAACTTGTTATTTATATAAGAAATAGTTTTGAACAATATGCTACGTATTAGTGTTGTCTACCCGAGAGTGTCCAATCAACGACCACAAAATAACGCGTTTGGTGTCATGAGGATATCAGCGTTGTTTTGGGAGAGGATGAAGATGTGTTTCCTTCTTCGTTACATTGTACTCATGTCTCCTCAGTTGCTGTGGTGAAGTTTTGCGGCCGTCTATCTATAACAAAAATTAACAAAAAAGATAAGATGTAAATGAACTATAATTCAAATAGTATCAAAAAGGAATAGTTCTCTATAGTTTCATAATGTCCCCGTTGTATGTGACGTCAAGACCGTGAAACATATCGGTTTTTGTGACGTCTACTGGATGAACATGTCTGTGTTGTTATTAAAAATAGTACAAGTCATTCGGATTCACATGTCTCGCCTGTGTCCCGCTTCGACCATCAATGCACATATCAGAGAAACGAGCTTAAACGCCAAAACCTAATGTTGATGGTTATGCTGGCAAAGTCAATGGACCATGAATGGTAGGTCACAACCAGCATTCGATGCATATGTGTTGAGATGTACTACCTCCGATGCATCTATGGTCCAAGTGTGGTTGGTCTAGCACTTATACTTTCAGTGAAACTAAGTTAAACGCAGAAACGTAATGTTGACGTCACCGACGTCGCCGGAAAAGCTTATAATTAGTCTCGCTCCCGCAACTTCGTCACGGCGAGACAAAAAGTGACGTAGTAGATCGTTAGCACGGTGTTATTAGTTCGACTTTTTGTTACATTACGTTATCTAGTAGGTGAACTACGTTTTATGACGTCATCATCTTTTTGGCTTATGTTAGATTTATATTATTTAGCAGTCGGACTTATTTTAACGTCGACATCGAGATATACATGTAGGGTAAAGTTAGTGCTTTAATAGAGCTGGTCGGCTAGCTTTTATCAAGTGTTCGGCCTATGTACGAGTTCTTTTTTAGAAAACAGTTGAAAGTCTACTAATGCCATATGCAGTCTTAACAATCTTTTTCTCAGTTAATGCTGCACATTGTCACATGTATCGAAGTAAATATAAAAACAATATAGCAGTTATAATGAAGTTTTATTGAACAAAAAATATCAATAACGATCAATAGTTTGCATTTACATGACTCCTCTAGCCTCGCAGCTACGTCAATAGGACATTATGTGACCAACAATGTGTGCAAAGGTGTTCAAACTCCTACTCAGAATGAGATGCGTCAGTTGGGTAAGGATGCTAAATTTGTTTGCTTTGAACAAAAAACATAAATATTTTTTTTATATTGGGAGCTTTGAAAAACGTCCATTTTCTTTGTCAGGCAAAGAGTGCAAATGACTGGTTTCTAGTAACTGTTTGTGTCAAAACTGTTTTCAAAAATAAAGCAATAAGAAGCTATAGTATCAAGGGAGAAAAATATATATATGCTCATCCAATACCAAACTGACATACTAATAAAATCCTCCTGATGCATTCTGGCATTTAAAATGTATAGAAAACATTGAAATGAAACAAGAAACAAGAGGCCCAGAGGGCCTGTATCGCTCACCTGAATATTATAGCAGTCATAGCAAAATGTTCTTTAAATATTATATTGCACTACAAATATTCCCCTCGCAAACTTTGTCGGCTCCATCTGTTGAAACTACCAGCCAAATATTATTATAAGATTCTATGCTTTTTGGTTCTTCTTCAGAAGTTGTTTGACATATTTTTCCCTGTGACCTTGTAAGTAGGTCAATGTCATTTTCCTTCTCAAACTTTGTTAGCTCTATCCCAAAATGCTACAAGCCAAATTTTATGAATCCATTAAGTTTTGTTCTTCAGAACAAATCCTTTGAAATGTTGCTGACCTCTGTGACCTTTAAAGTAGGTTGAGGTCATTTTCAGTTGCAAACTTTGGTGAGCTCTATCCCAGGAAGCCACCAGGCAAATATCATAATTTAATGCCTTTCGATTATTCGTTCTCAAACTTTGTTGGGCTCTATCCCAGGAAACCACCAGTCACATTTGAAGATTATATACCTTTCAGTTCTTCAGAGGAAGTCGTTTGAAGTGTTTGACACATTTGACCCCTGTGACATTGAAAGTAGGTTGAGGTCATTTTCGTTCTCAAACTTTGTTGGGCTCTATCCCAGGAAACTACCAGCCAAATTTGAAAATTCTATACCTTTTAGTTTTACAACAGAAGTCGTTTGAAGTGTTCGACACATTTGACCCCTGTGACCTTGAAATTCGGTTGCGTTAATTTTCATTCTAAAACTTTATCGGGCTCTATCCCAAGAAGCCTACAGCCAAATATGACGATTCTATACCTTTCAGTTCTTCTTCAGAGTTGTTTGAAGTGTTTGACATATTTGACCGCTATGACCTTGAAAGAAGGTCAAAGTAATTTTCATTCTCAAACTTTGTCGGGCTCTATCCCAGGAAGCCACCAGCCAAATTTAGAGATTCTATACTTTTAAGTTCTTCTTCAGAAGTCGTTTGAAGTGTTTGACACATTTGACCCCTATGACCTTGAAACTAAGTCAAGGTCATTTTCGTTCTAAACTTTGTTGGGTTCTATCCCAGAAAACCACCAGCCAAATTTGAAGATTCTATACTTTTAAGTTCTTCAGAAGAAGTTGTTTGAAGTGTTTGACACATTTGACCCCTATGACCTTGAAAGTAAATCAAGGTCAGTTTCGTTCTAAAATTTTGTCGGGCTCCTACCAACGAAGCTTTTGTTCAAATATCATGGCACTATGCCTGTTCGTTCTTCAGAAGAAATCGTTTAAAGGAAAAGTTGACGGATGATGGACGGACGACGAACGCCGCACCATGACATAAGCTCACTTGCCCTTCGAGCAGGTGAGCTAAAATCTACTTTCTAACTGAATTATTTCTGGATGTTGTGAAATGACTAAAACATATTGCACTTGCACTTTCATTTCAAGAAAAAGGAATTTATATCGATATATGTCGGATGCCTTAAAACATATATATTTAGTTAAGGAATTGCTTCCCTATGACCACATTTCAAACCCTATAAAAAGAAAGAAATTTGTAATACCGCCTTCCCCCTTAATCCATTCATATTAAACCGTTAAAAAACCAAAGAGAAATGCTTAGAGCTTATTATTAACATGCAGATTTTGCTAATAGGGTAATTAATGACCAAGTTTGATAAAAACCTAGCAAGATCTATTTAGTTATTATGGCTAAAATTAATCAACAAAGCATAACAAGTCATTTGGATTGACATGTCACGCCTGTGCCCCGCTTTGACCATAGATGCACATATCAGAGTTACTAAGTTAAAAGCAAAAACTTGATGTTGATGGAAAAGCTGACAAAGTCAATGTACCATGAAAAGTAGGGGGCATCCAGCATTTGATGCATGGGCTGAGAAGATTTACTTCTGAATGGGAAAAATGGTTAAAATTAGTAGAGCTTGACCTCACCTAACCCTGAGCCTTATGACTATTTATATTAAGTTAGTAGGTGTTATTCTCTTGCTTACTCCAACCCCTCCTATTTATGTCTACAAGCAGGTCTCTATTCCATTAGAATAAGTAGCGATGACTGCAGATGCAGGTATACATGTACAGTGTAAGTCAGATTTGTGTTTTTTGAAGATGCAGGCTGAGCCAATTTATTACTATCTTTCTTTGATGGTAACATACAGGAACAAATGTACTTTAAAACAAAATAATGACAAAGGTTCACAGCAGTTATTTATTTTATTTATTTTTCTTCTCAAATCTGCTGTGTTATGTTAACGTTGTTATGTAAACTTAATGTTGATGGAGATGCTGATAAAGTCAATGGACCATGAACGGTAGGCGGCATTCAGTACTTGATGCATGGGTTGAGATGAACTACCTCAGGTGCGTCTATGGTCCAAGTTTGGTTGGTGTAGCACTTATACTTTCAAAGAAATAACTTAAATGCAACAACTTAATGTTGATGGAGATGCTGACAAAGTGAATGGACCGTGGAAGGTAGGTCGCATCCAGATTTTCATGCATGGGTTGAGATGTAGTACCTTAAATGCAACTATGGTGCAAATTTGGATAGTGTAGCACTTAAACGTTCAGATAAACTAACCTAAACACAAAAACTTAATGTTGATGGAGATGCTGACAAAGTCAATAGGCCACGACAGGAAGACAGTATCCAGTATTTGATGCATGGGTTGAGATGTACTACCTAAGATGCATCTATGGTCTAAGTTTGGTTGGTGTAGCACTTATACTTTCAGAGAAACTAACTTAAACACAAAAACTTAATGTTGACGCCGCCGTCGCCGGGAAAGCAACACCTGTGTATCGCTACCACTTCGTCGCGGCGAGACAAAAATTATTTTATAAATGAAACATTTGACAATATCTTCAGATAGGAACTCTTTAGGGAAGAATATGTACACCACATTTAGGTTACATACATCTTTAACCCACTGAGGAATTAAAGGCAACCCCTCTTTGTTTATTTTTCCTGGTAGATTAATAATCAAACATTGTGCCGATCTAAAAACCGTTTTTCAGTCCAGGAAAAAGTCTATATATCTAGTACAGTAATATTGATATTCTTTCAAGGTCACTTGACCTTGGAAGCAAGACTTTTGACCTTGGAAAGGATATTGTAGTGAGCTAAAAGTCCCCAGTGGTCACTAGGATACTTCCCACACTTAGCAACACGTTCCAGTCCGACGAGTTCCAAATAGACAGGCTCAACCGTGGGTGGCTCTGCTCCCCTTATGTACAAACGGTCAAATCGTAACTTGGGCCTGAACTTTCCAGAGAAGACCAAGTTGTCGTTACGAGACATGTCCCAAGTGTAAGCTGCCTCTGGCCTTTGACCTGTTATTTCCCAGATATCGTGAACACCAGGAGGCAGACCTCCTATTCTGGCCACCTAAACAAATAAAACACAGTTTTTTGGTTAAACACATACCATAGCATACAGGATTCTAAAAATGAAAGTCCACATCACCTGGTATTTGTTTAATTTGAAAAGAAAGAGTACATTAATTAAAACCAGCACTTAAAGTTGACCTTTGACCTCATTACTGTAATAAAGAAAATTATTCGCATTGCTAGTCCAAATGGTTCTTGGGATGTTGTTGTTTAAAGTTTTTATCATATTTGACCCCTGTGACCTTGTAAGTAGGTCAAGGTCAATTTAATGAGGAAACCTCATAGCACTTCACCCCAGGTACCTACTGGCAAAATATCATGACCCTATGCATTATGGAACTTGAGAAGATTGTTAAAGTTTTTAACATATTTGACCCCTGTGACCTTGTAAGTAGGTCAAGGTCATTATAATGGGGAGACTTTATATCACCTCATCCCAGATACCTACTGACAAAAAATCATGACTCTATGCCTTATGGAACTTGAGAAGAAGATTGTAAAATGAAATGAATTTTTTATTGAATTCTGTATTCAATATTTTCTGAACCATTTTCTTTAGGTCAGCAAAACAGCTAGTACAAGGTTCACATATCACAACCAGTAAAATATTTGTTTGTGTTTCAAATCCCGAATGCGGTCGTGCTCTAACCAACCAATTCAAAATAACAACAACAGTTATCAGATCACACGGGATATAGACTGTACCCTCCAACCAGACGGTGATTATAGTCTCAATCCAAAGTTCCCAACACAACACACCATCCCTGGAGCTAGGCATGACGATGGAATATTATTAGGTATTATAAATGTGCTAGCGTTTGTTCCAAAGTTTTATCTAACCACTAATTTTGCTGCCATGCCATCCTTCGATGCAGTGAATAAGAAGAAGTAGCGAGAAAACCTCCCCTAAGTCATGGAACATGGTCATAAAGTCAGGTGGACCCATTTACTAGAACAAGAAAGTTGGCTTGAGCACAGAATCTCAGTTTGAGCATTGAAACAGTTTGATGAATACGGGCCTAGATTTAACATACCAATAGAATTCAAAATATGATTCCAACAAAAATGATATTTTTATGATAGTTGTGTCATTTTTTGTATTTTACACAACAAAACTTGTTTTTGCGACAAATATAACAAAAATCAAATCATAAAATGACTTAATCTTGTTCCTTTTGTATATTCCTCTTTGATAAACAATAACATAATAAGTAATCTAAAAAGGGAAATATACTACTAACCTCTATGTTACGTAGGTTGAGATTCCAAATATGACAGTAGAAGATTTTGAGGATTTCTGCATCACACGAAACGCCTTTAGTAGCTGCTGTACACGTTCCTTTGATTGTTTTTCGGAACTTTCTAAATGAGAGGTCATCAGCACCAAGTTCTCTCCTTTAATTTTACACTGTAAGTAAGAGTTATTCCCCGTTATCTAAAGATAATGTTGTAAAAGAACATGGTTGTCTCCCTTTACACAAATACAATTTGGCTGTTTTTCCATCAATGCTTAACGGCCCTTCCACTCAGGGTAGGTCAATAGGGCAAACAAATGATTGACAAAAATAAATGCAAAATAAAAACATCAAACAAAGTAAAAAGCAAATGTCAATTTGAATATTGAAAGTGGCAATGGTGACTCAAATGTTATTAAAAAGACCAACAGATTTCAGATAGCCTAAAGTTGAAGAGACTTAGAAAATGTTCTTGAGTTGACTAAAAGTCGATAAAATCTAATAACAAGTGCTTTACTGTAAATGGTTCCTGACACGCTAGGAGGTTCCTCATCATCTGTGTGTTGGAGAAGGGTAGTGGAATACTTACCTGTACAAGTAGGAGGTTCCTCATCATCTGTGTGTCAGGGAAGGGTAGTGGAATACTTACCTGTACAAGTAGGAGGTTCCTCATCATCTGTGTGTCAGGGAAGGGTAGTGGAATACTTACCTGTACAAGTAGGAGGTTCCTCATCATCTGTGTGTCAGGGAAGGGTAGTGGAATACTTACCTGTACAAGTAGGAGGTTCCTCATCATCTGTGTGTCAGGGAAGGGTAGTGGAATACTTACCTGTAAAGTAGGAGGTTCCTCATCATCTGTGTGTCAGGGAAGGGTAGTGGAATACTTACCTGTACAAGTAGGAGGTTCCTCATCATCTGTGTGTCAGGGAAGGGTAGTGGAATACTTACCTGTACAAGTAGGAGGTTCCTCATCATCTGTGTGTCAGGGAAGGGTAGTGGAATACTTACCTGTACAAGTAGGAGGTTCCTCATCATCTGTGTGTCAGGGAAGGGTAGTGGAATACTTACCTGTACAAGTAGGAGGTTCCTCATCATCTGTGTGTCAGGGAAGGGTAGTGGAATACTTACCTGTACAAGTAGGAGGTTCCTCATCATCTGTGTATTAGGGAAGGGTAGTGGAATACTTACCTGTACACGTAGGAGGTTCCCCATCATCTGTGTATTGGGGAAGGGTAGTGGAATACCTACCTGTACAAGTAGGAGGTTCCTCATCATCTGTGTATTGGGGAAGGGTAGTGGAATACTTACCTGTACAAGTAGGAGGTTCCTCATCATCTGTGTATTGGGGAAGGGTAGTGGAATACTTACCTGTACAAGTAGGAGGTTCCTCATCATCTGTGTATTGGGGAAGGGTAGTGGAATACTTACCTGTACAAGTAGGAGGTTCCTCATCATCTGTGTATTGGGGAAGGGTAGTGGAATACTTACCTGTACAAGTAGGAGGTTCCTCATCATCTGTGTATTGGGGAAGGGTAGTGGAATACTTACCTGTACAAGTAGGAGGTTCCTCATCATCTGTGTATTGGGGAAGGGTAGTGGAATACTTACCTGTACAAGTAGGAGGTTCCTCATCATCTGTGTATTGGGGAAGGGTAGTGGAATACTTACCTGTACAAGTAGGAGGTTCCTCATCATCTGTGTATTGGGGAAGGGTAGTGGAATACTTACCTGTACAAGTAGGAGGTTCCTCATCATCTGTGTATTGGGGAAGGGTAGTGGAATACTTACCTGTACAAGTAGGAGGTTCCTCATCATCTGTGTATTGGGGAAGGGTAGTGGAATACTTACCTGTACAAGTAGGAGGTTCCTCATCATCTGTGTATTGGGGAAGGGTAGTGGAATACTTACCTGTACAAGTAGGAGGTTCCTCATCATCTGTGTATTGGGGAAGGGTAGTGGAATACTTACCTGTACAAGTAGGAGGTTCCTCATCATCTGTGTATTGGGGAAGGGTAGTGGAATACTTACCTGTACAAGTAGGAGGTTCCTCATCATCTGTGTATTGGGGAAGGGTAGTGGAATACTTACCTGTACAAGTAGGAGGTTCCTCATCATCTGTGTATTGGGGAAGGGTAGTGGAATACTTACCTGTACAAGTAGGAGGTTCCTCATCATCTGTGTATTGGGGAAGGGTAGTGGAATACTTACCTGTACAAGTAGGAGGTTCCTCATCATCTGTGTATTGGGGAAGGGTAGTGGAATACTTACCTGTACAAGTAGGAGGTTCCTCATCATCTGTGTATTGGGGAAGGGTAGTGGAATACTTACCTGTACAAGTAGGAGGTTCCTCATCATCTGTGTATTGGGGAAGGGTAGTGGAATACTTACCTGTACAAGTAGGAGGTTCCTCATCATCTGTGTATTGGGGAAGGGTAGTGGAATACTTACCTGTACAAGTAGGAGGTTCCTCATCATCTGTGTATTGGGGAAGGGTAGTGGAATACTTACCTGTACAAGTAGGAGGTTCCTCATCATCTGTGTATTGGGGAAGGGTAGTGGAATACTTACCTGTACAAGTAGGAGGTTCCTCATCATCTGTGTATTGGGGAAGGGTAGTGGAATACTTACCTGTACAAGTAGGAGGTTCCTCATCATCTGTGTATTGGGGAAGGGTAGTGGAATACTTACCTGTACAAGTAGGAGATTCCTCATCATCTGTGTGTGAAGGAAGGGTAGTGGAATACTTACCTGTAAAGTAGGAGGTTCCTAATCATCCGTGTGTGAAGGAAGGGTAGTGGAATACTTACCTGTAAAGTAGGAGGTTCCTCATCATCTGTGTGTCAGGGAAGGGTAGTGGAATACTTACCCGTACGAGTAGGAGGTTCCTCATCATCTGTGTATTGGGGAAGGGTAGTGGAATACCTACCTGTGCAAGTAGGAGGTTCCTCATCATCTGTGTGTCAGAGAAGGGTAGTGGAATACCTACCTGTACAAGTAGGAGGTTCCTCATCATCCGTGTGTCAGGGAAGGGTAGGGTTTGATGGTGTATTAGCTCTACCTGGTCCACCTTCAGTAATATACAGGTGTAATATTCCTCGTTTCCCCCGGTAATGACCTGATAAGTAGGACAACCTGACTCCAAAATTACTTGTGTTAGGGCTGTCACTTCCTGTAGAAACACGACATGAGGATGTTCCCTGTTAACGAGGTAAAAGTTAACTATGATTACGTTAAGACATTGTGAAAGTGGGAACTACAAGTTCACATTTAAAGTCATAAAGATTTGTTTGGAAAGACGAGAGCTTCACATTCAAATATAAGTTAATTATAATGTTTAGAGTTTGTAAAAATGAGGGCTTCAAGTTTACATTTAAGTTTATCGTTTTGTTTAGAGTTTGTAGAAATGAGACTTTCAGGTTTACATTTAAAGTTCACCATTATGTTGAGAATTTGTTAAGATAAGTACACACTTATTGATGATGTCACAAACGGCTTGAGTTCGTCTTTTGATGCTGAGGTCATGGAGTCCGTCAATGTTCCAGGAGAGAAGTCGAATCCTGTGTGGTTCTGGATCAGACTCCTCTACTCTGTAAGGAACCATGTATATGTTAAACTATACACCTTAATGTCTACAGGTGTTAAATTATATCCCTTAATGTCTACAGGTGTTTAATGACATACCCTAATGTCTACAGGTGTTTATTTACATACTTTATTGTCTACAGGTGTTTTATTACATACCTTAATGTCCACAGGTGTTCAATTATATCCCTTAATGTCCACATGTGTTAAATTACATACCTTAATATCTACAGGTGTTTAATTGTACACCTTAATGTCTACAATTGTTTAATTGTACACCTTAATGTCTACAGGTGTTTTATTACATACTTTAATGTCCACATGTGTTAAATTACATCCCTTAATGTCCACAGGTGATTAATTACATACCTTAATGTCTACAGGTATTTTATTACATACCTTAATGTCCACATGTGTTAAATTACATCCCTTAATGTCCACAGGTGATTACTTACATACCTTAATGTCTACAGGTATTTTATTACATACCTTAATGTCCACATGTGTTAAATTACATACCTTAATATCTACAGGTGTTTAATTGTACACCTTAATGTCTACAATTGTTTAATTGTACACCTTAATGTATACAGGTGCTTAATTACATACTTTAATGTCCACATGTGCTTAATTACATACCTTAATGTCCACAGGTGCTTAATTACAAACCTTAATGTCTACAGGTATTTAATTATTACATACCTTAATGTCTACAGGTGCTTAATTACATGCCTTAATGTCCACATGTGTTAAATGACATACCTTAATATCAACAGGTGTTTAGTTATATACATTATATGTCTACAGGTGTTTAATTGTGCTATATTAATTATATAGTAATTACGAGACGTGTAGCTTAATTATACTGCCTCTGTAATTATGGGACCTATTTGTGGAATCTTTAGACAGGGTAACAGCTGTGATGAGACTTACAGACAGTCTTCTAAGTATTTACACATAGGGTGAACTATATTCGGGCATGTTGGTTTAGACTGGGGCATAGTGGTACAACCACTTGGTTATCTCCCATTTGTGTACACACAATAACAGCTTCTGTCACCAAGAAGTACCACCAATTTAGTGCAGCAGACAAGAGAAATATTGTGTCCCATGAAGTGTTTGAAATGTCAAAATAAAACGGATATTTGCGACAGTTTAATAATGATTTCCCGCCACAAAGTATCATACATAGGAACTAAGTCAGTGTACGTACACTTACAGCTATTACTAAATTGACTTCAATTTCGTTGCCAACTCGTGTTTACTTTACACCACATAACAGACTACATATATCTTACTAATAATAGAAATGTCATGCACAAACATTTCACTCGTTTTGCTATATACACATATACACAAAATGCTGCAAATAAGTTTGTTTAAATCGCTCTTTCTGTAGGATTTTAAAGATTTACCTTTATTTCCCATACTGGGCCCCATTACATCCTATGCCTCACCTCATACATATATACAACATTGAGCTATTTTGTCCCTATAAGAGTTTGCTTAAATTGTTTGAAAAAATAACTTGTATTTCCCCCATTGGACTCTGCCACCATGGGAGCCACATCCTGCTTGTATAAAACATTGAGACCCCTTAGACCACAGATACTCCTTGTTAAATTTGTTTAAAATCCCTTCAACCATACTGTGGAAGGATTTATACGATTTACTGAAGTTATTCCCATATTATGCACACCATATCTTTCAGCGATTCTCTTTATACAACATTGACTTCCCTTTACCAAACAATGCTCCTGACCGCATTTTGTCAAAATCCACTCAGTTGTTCTGGATTAGTAGCTTTTTAAGGAAAAACATTAACTGAACACTGTGTACCGCCACGGCATAATCTCACCTGGAATTCTTCAGGCAGGAAACAAAATATATACAAAATATATACCCTAAATATAATCTTCTGATATTAGCAACTGCAAATAAACATACCTGGACTTCTTTTCAGAACATTCACTATTCTCTCCATCATCGCCCATTTTTCTCTTATGGTCTTTTTTTTCAGGCCCACAGTTTGATTCGTAAAATGTGTTCAGTGCTGTCTGCAACAAAATAACAAACAGAATTTGACACAAACATTTGGTTTATTTTATTATGTTGTATTGGACAAAGATAACGGATACTTTTTCCGGTGTCAATGGCGATGGCCGCTTTTGTTCTCAGCTCCGGCTGAGCTGAGGTATTTTTTGTAAGTTTTCAGCTACTAAAGGCACTTACTTAACAGAAATTAGTAAGCAAACAGTGTATTTGTCAACTCCTCTCCTCTACACAAAATGTGATCCAGGCGAGAAATCATCAAATACAGATATGCCAGGATCTGGTACATCAATCCGGGATGTAAACAAACACAGGACTTGACTATTGCCAGGAAAACTCGTACAGGATCAACCAAAGGATCTTAGGATCATGGGAAAGCAAGGGAAGATGTTTTTAAAACCCCATGGGACGAAGAATCTTGGGCTTGTAAGCTGTGTAGCAAGATATTTCTCGCTATTGGCACCTGCAAGGCAAACCTCAACATACAGAAAGTCAATCAGAAGGAACTACAACAGTTTGAGCTACGTAAACAAGTTGAGAACCTGAAGGTCAGCAAGGGGAAAGAGAAAAAAACACACCTGAGGTGATACATTGAACAGATTAAAACAATAGTGAGGAACTCAAGAGGACAAGCAAAATACTAGGCCGCAAGCTGTCCCTGGATACAGTAACAGTAGAGGACAAACAGGATACTACGCCGCAAGCTGTCCCTAGATAAAGTAACAGTAGAGGACAAACAGGATACTACACCGCAAGCTGTCCCTAGATACAGGAACAGTAGAGGACAAACAGGATACTACACCGCAAGCTGTCCCTAGATACAGGAACAGTAGAGGACAAACAGGATACTACACCCCAAGCTATCCCTATATACAGTAACAGTAGACGACAAACAGAATACTAGCCCCAAGCTGTCCCTAGATACAGTACCAGTAGAGGACAAACAGGATACTACACCCCAAGCTATCCCTATATACAGTAACAGTAGACGACAAACAGAAAAATAGCCGCAAGGTGTCCCTAGATACAGTAACAGTAGACGACAAACAGAATAATAGCCGCAAGGTGTCCCTAGATACAGTAACAGTAGACGACAAACAGAATAATAGCCGCAAGGTGTCCCTAGATACAGTAACAGTAGACGACAAACAGCATAATAGCCGCAAGCTGTCCCTAGATACAGTAACAGTAGAGGGCAAACAGAATACTAGCCGCAAGCTGTCCCTAGATACAGTAATAGTAGAGGACAAACAGAATACTAGCCCCAAGCTGTCCCTAGATACAGTAACAGTAGAGGACAAACAGGATACTACGCCCCAAGCTATCCCTAGATACAGTAACAGTAGACGACAAACAGAATACTAGCCCCAAGCTGTCCCTAGATACAGTTACAGTAGAGGACAAACAGAATACTACGCCGCAAGCTGTCCGTAGATACAGTAACAGTAGAGGACAACCAGGATACTAGCTGCAAGCTGTCCCTAGATACAGTAACAGTAGAGGACAACCAGGATACTAGCTGCAAGCTGTCCCTAGATACAGTAACAGTAGAGGACAACCAGGATACAACGCCGCGAGCTGTCCCTAGATACAGTAACAGTAGACGACAAACAGGATACTTCGCCGCAAAGCTGTCCCTAGATACAGTTACAGTAGACGACAAACAGGATACTACGCCGCAAGCTGTCCCTAGATACAGTAACAGTAGAGGACAAACAGGATACTACGCCGCAAGCTGTCCCTGGATACAGTAACAGTAGAGGACAACCAGGATACAACGCCGCGAGCTGTCCCTGGATACAGTAACAGTAGACGACAAACAGGATACTACGACGCAAAGCTGTCCCTAGATACAGTAGCAGTAAACGACAAACAGGATACTACGCCGCAAAGCTGTCCCTAGATACAGTAGCAGTAAACGACAAACAGGATACTACGCCGCAAGATGTCCCTAGATACAGTAACAGTAGAGGACAAGCAGGATACTACGCCGCAAGCTGTCCCTAGATACAGTAACAGTAGAGGACAAACAGGATACTACGCCGCAAGCTGTCCCTGGATACAGTAACAGTAGAGGACAAACAGGATACTACGCCACAAGCAAGCTGTCCCTAGATACAGTTACAGTAGAGGACAAACAGAATACACGCCGTAAGTTGTCCCTGGATACAGTAACAGTAGAGGACAAACAGAAAACACGCCGTAAGTTGTCCCTGGATACAGAAACAGTAGAGGACAAACAGAATACTAGCCACAAGCTGTCCCTAGATACAGTAACAGTAGAGGACAAACAGAATACTACGCCGCAAGCTGTCCCTAGATACAGTAACAGTAGAGGACAAACAGGATACTAGCCCCAGGCTGTGCCTAGATACAGTTACAGTAGAGGGCAAACAGAATACTAGTCCCAAGCTGTTCCTAGATACAGTAACAGAAGAGGACAAACAGGATACTACGCCGCAAGCGGTCCCTAGATACAGTAACAGTAGAGGACAACCAGGATACTACGCCGCTAGCTGTTCCTAGATACAGTAACAGTAGAGGACAAACAGAATACTACGCCGCAAGCTGTCCCTAGATGCAGTAACAGTAGAGGACAAACAGGATACTAGCCCCAGGCTGTCCCTAGATACAGTTACAGTAGAGGACAAACAGAATACACGCCGTAAGTTGTCCCTGGATACAGTAACAGTAGAGGACAAACAGGATCCTACGCCGCAAGCTGTCCCTAGATACAGTTACAGTAGAGGACAAACCGGAAACTACGCCGCAAGCTTTCCCTAGATACAGTAACAGTAGAGGACAACCAGGATACTACGCCGCTAGCTGTTCCTAGATACAGTAACAGTAGAGGACAAACAGAATACTACGCCGCAAGCTGTCCCTAGATGCAGTAACAGTAGAGGACAAACAGGATACTAGATACAGTAACAGTAGACGACAAACAGGATACTACGCCGCAAGCTGTTCCTAGATACAGTAAATGAAGACAATTGTCCCTAGATACAGTAACAGTAGAGGACAACCAGGATACTACGCCGCTAGCTGTTCCTAGATACAGTAACAGTAGAGGACAAACAGGGTACTACGCCGCAAGCTGTCCCTAGTTAAAGTAACAGTACAGGACAAACAGGATACTACGCCGGAAGCTGTCCCTAGATACAGTAACAGTAGAGGCCAAACAGGATACTACGCCGCAAGCTGTCCCTAGTTAAAGTAACAGTAGAGGACAAACAGGATACTAGCCCCAGGCTGTCCCTAGATACAGTTACAGTAGAGGACAAACCGGAAACTACGCCGCAAGCTGTCCCTAGATACAGAAACAGTAGAGGACAAATATGATACAACGCCGCAAGCTGTCCCTAGATACAGTAACAGTAGAGGACAAACAGGATACACGCCGCAAGCTGTCCCTAGTTAAAGTAACAGTAGAGGACAAAGAGGATACTACGCCGCAAGCTCTCCCTAGATACAGAAACAGCAGAGGACAAATATGATACAACGACGCAAGCTGTCCCTAGATAACAGAAGACGACAAACAGAATACTAGCCCCAAGTTGTCCCTAGATACAGTAACAGTAGAGGACAAACAGGATACTACGCGCAAGCTGTTCCTAGATACAGTAAATGAAGACGATACCAAAGATAACAACTCTACGTCTAATTAGAGAGTCGACAACAACGCCAGCCTCTCGGAAAAAATACATAGCAGGGTCACTGGCCTCGTATTAAGGAAGGTGGACTGCGATATAAGTATTTTAGAAAGTAACTATCAAACCAACCAGCATAGCCAACAACTTCACTATATTATCGGAAACGGATTTATATAAGTTATTTCAACTTGTTTCCGGATCCCATTCCTCTGTACTTTGTATGTTATGTGATGTAATGCAACTTAATTTGGAATGAAATAAAGTTTATATTAACCTCACTATAGAACTGTCCCGCCAAATGGTAACACACAATCCCCACAAGGTAACAGGTATATGTACTGGAACTCCAAGTACGCCTACGAATGTTACATAAGACGCTAGCCAGAATGCTGATATGCCATCAGGAAACAACAGTTGATCTTAGTTACCCGCTTTATAGTATGATTGGGCGGATTGGTCGAGTGGTTAACACTCCTGCCTTTCACGCAGGTGGCCGGGATTCGATCCCCGAAGGCATTGTACGCATGGGTATTCAAAGAAAGTGTTTTTCTCCTGCCCACACAATATGGTCTGGGGGTGGATGTTGCGGCATCTGTGCTGTAGCATTCAAGTGAGGGGACATTACAAATGATGCCGTTGGAAGCACGGTCCCACTACAAACAGAACACATTACATCTCCAGCAAACACGCAGGCAAACACACATAGGGAGATATTCGCCAGGTGGCATATGACTAGCAGTTAGCGCCTGATAAAGCAGCTCCTGCGAATTCCTCAAAATGGTATTGATTAATATATGCTAATTGTATTACCGGTAATTGTATATCTATGTACTGTAAAGCGCTTTAGAGTGGTTTATGTTAGCTAGATAGGGCGCTATATCAAATGTTGTATATAATTATTATCAACTACAAATCAATATATAGGTATATGTGCACGCTTATCTGGACTCGATAGCCATTTGTGAACATGGACTCTACTGCTTGTGTGTACAGACTGTATATAACCTGTAGATGTTACCTACGTGACCCGACTGTGTTTATAATAGGGTGAGGAATGGAAATAGGATTTTTTTCAATTTTAACAAACCATTGTATATATCGAACACTATAAACAAACCAGTTTTAACTCCATAAAAGAAGAATCTTCTATGAAGGCGGGATTTTAAGATTTAAATACAGATAATGCTGGGGCTCGAACCCGTGACCCTTGGCTCTCCAGCCCGATGCTCTACCGCTGAGCTAAAGAGAAATTCCCTATAGCTGACGCTTGTAGGGCAACCTAATCAATGCACAACTTTTGGGTTTTCTTCCACAACGCAAACAACATTGTTCCCATAGCAGTGTTGTAATAAAAGCTCTACAAAGCTTATGTTTGTTGTTGACAATATACACGACGTTAAATAAAGATTATTTATTATATCTTATAAATTCATAAGAGCGTAGTTCTCGGGCGCCGAAAAGCTCTTTAATGGAAACACATGTGTGCGTAAACAGAGTAGCTTCCCCTTGCTACACATCTTTTTTCCTCCGGAAGTAGCTGTCCAGTGGGGAAGCTGGAAGTGTATCCTTGTTGACACATGTGACCCCTGACCTTGACCCCTTACACACCTCCCATCCTTCGGAATAGCCTGTAGGATAGGATCAAAACAGGACTCTTTCTGTTTATAAACCATTGCCCGAGGGTCAGTATATGGTATTCCCTCAGGTGGCATGGAGGTAGACTGAGTTGTACCTCTCCCCTCTCCCCCCCCCCCCCAAGAGTGACCAGCTATTTGTTTATTGCCCTTGGCTACTGACATACTTACCACCCTTAGGTGTAGTCAGTAGCATAGTGGCTGGATTAGAAGTCTTATTTGGAGGCGAGGCAGCACAAGCCGCCATGCTCTCTTCTGATTGCTTTTAAGAGCCTCTGTCTCCAATTTTTCCACTAAGTATCTAACCTGGACCTACCTGCAGCTCCTTAAATTGATGCTGCATGTCAATAACTGCGTCCTCTTGTCTATTAAGCATATCTGCCTGTGATGAAGTCGACAGGGAGTAGTGACCATTATGCCTGTGATGACCCCATCACATAGCCATTTCTGCCACTTTTCAATGCCTATCCTTGAATTAGACATGAGTTTTTGTAGGGTGAGGTCGCCCTCGCCTCTTATCTCAATGATTTTCTGTGCCGTCGCAGGGCCTAAACCCTCCAACGTGCACAGCTCAACTTCTGTAGCTGAGCGTTAGTGTATCACAGCCATTACAAAATATGGACAAGTTTCTACGTTCTAATAAAGAAACAAGTTGATACACTTATAGCGTGTTCCATTTAGCGGAACGTTCCGGTTGTGCCAACTTGGAACGGGTCCGCTAAATGGTACAGTACGTTCCAATCACGTTCTCCGCACGCTAAATCCAACATGGCGGATATCAGCACGATTGCTACAGCGTATTATTCTTTTTTATCATTTTTTGATGATGAGGACGACGATATGTTAGAAACCGCAGCTGCTGCGTTTTGTATGACGCGAGACCGAGTTCGCGTTCCGCTGTATGTTGAAAATGTTGTTACAAATTATGATGAGATGGAGTTCCGTTTTCATTTTAGAATGACACGGAGGTCGTTCAATTTATTAACAAACCTGATTTATGCTACTGATAAAGTTTCTACATATCATGATCAAGGTCGCGAACCTATTCAGCTAGAGAAACAGGTTTTGGTGACAGTTTGGTACCTGGCAAACAAGGACTCACATCGGGAAATAGCCGATCGGTTTAATATAACAGTAAGCAGCGTCGCTAGGACGAAATCCCGTGTGATCGACGCTATCATGGCTTTGATGAAAGAATTCATCGTTTGGCCAACTGGTAATAACCGCACATTGTTCTTTAACAATTAATTACTTCATTTGGGGTTATAACATTTTGTTTAAGGTCCCTTCCACTATGGACTTGACAATTTCATAAACATTCGGACAAATTCAGTTTAAAATATACTTACATTCCAGTATCTTCCCGAATTCATAAGCAAGTTTGAAACTTACAAGCCCTTGTGTTCACATAGCCTAGGTAGCAACGTGTAAGATATATACAATGGTGAACGAACGACGATTCTTTAAAATACTATATTCAGTACTTACTTCATATGAGACGCATGTAACACTTGCAAACTACATTAAATCGCGTTTAAATCCCAATGACGAATTGCCACAATATTTCTGTCAACTTAAAACATGGCGCCGTTGAAAGTTCACACGAGCGACAACTCTTGCTGTTAGGTGCATTCGTTTGGCACATAAATACTAAACCTATTCGTTACAAATGTCTGAAATACACATATGCTTTACTGTGTTAACCTTTGTTACATAAACGTACCGTATTCTTCCTATTTCAATTAATTTCTTTCCTAATAGCATATCCTTCATATATATTTTACGTAAATTAGTCCACTAAGAATAACATTACCNTTGGATGGCCAGGGTCTGTACATGATGCCAGGATTTACACCAACAGTAGTGTCTGCCTTAAAGCATCGGAGCTTTTCCCGACACAGAGCCACTTGATTGGAGACGGGGCATATCCTCTTTCGAAGTATGTGTTTAATTAATGTTTTACACACTACTTGATTTGATAGAGCAGCTCTGTTATTTCTTTCTATTTATTACTATTGACAACTAAACTTTCAGTGTCCTGTTGAATTAATAAGTTTCAATTTTACACTCAAGGGCAGAATGCATGTAAGATATGCAAACACAGCGGACATTTTTGCTAACGATTGCTAATCAATAAAAACATATTTCCGCCTAATCAAACGTAAGATTTGCCATAATTGCTGTGTGCTGTTCAGGTTTTGGCATTTAAAACATAGAGTGCAATATTCTTTGATTAATACTTGTGTTAACGACACCGGATATTGCCTCCAAACAGGCGGTGATCACACGAGATGCAGTTGAAAGTGAGTTTTTTTTCTATATTTTCCTTAATTCAGGGGCTGTCATGTGCTTGAGGCTTTCATGATCAATACCTCACATTTTCAGTGTTTATTTTATCCATAGAAAACGTCCATTAATGGGCCAATATGTCTTCCAGACTTACACACACGTCGTGTGGTATCGGCGAAAACTTGCGAGCGATAACCATCACGTGTTTGAATTAATGTATTGCCTTCGGCTAAATAAAGATGTATCTACATTACACACATTCATTATGTCAGTGAAAACATTGTATTATATGAAATATCGTCAACTTGAATGTTAGTTTTTAGATTACTGTACGGCATCATGCAAATTGCAAGTCGCCGTACAATGCTATGCAATTATGTCAGCATATTTCTCATAATTTACGAGTTCGAAAATATGATAAATGAATGTAATGCATATACATTTTAATTAGTTTTAGGTAGTGAAATTTGTTAAAAAACACACACCACTACAATACTAATTCAGACACGTGGTAAGTGTCACTCGTGAGTTTTCGCCGATACCAGGCGGCGTGTTTGCAAGTCTAGAAGAAATATTGACCCATATAGGAACGTTCTCTGTGGTTTAAGCCAATGCTGAAAATGTGAGGAATTGATACAAAAAAGCCGAAGACCATACAAGCTTCTGAAGTAAGGAAAATATAGGAAAAAAATCACCTGCAACAGAAGCCCACTTCGTGTGATCACCGCCTGCCTGGTACCAATATCCGGTGTTGTTAACACACAGTGATGTGGTGTTGGCCATGATGTGTTGTTTTTTGTATATGCGATGCTGCTAATTGTACTTACACCATTTCCCCTGCAAGCATCATATCTGCCAAGCACTGCCATATCTGTCAAGCATTCTATATCTGCCAACAGTGCGCCATACCCATACTTTCGGCTCAACACATTATTATTCACCGCTTATTTGATACAGGGTGGGTATGGTAAAATTCTTACCTGTCTACTTAAAAATGAAAAATATATATATTTCAGGACAATGATGACACCATATAGGGACAATGGCCATCTGTCACCCAAGCAGCGAAACTACAATAGGAAGCATGCATCTACACGTGTCGTATTGGAGAGGGCCTTTGGTCTTCTCAAAATAAAATGGCGATGTCTCCATCATCTTGAGATGATAAATGTTGATAGCATGTGTAGGGTAATTTGTGCAAGCTGTGTCTTGCACAATTTCGTTTTAGCGGAGGACGGTCCAGATATGCTTCCAGAACCTGAGGTTGAGGAAGACGGAGATGATGAAACCCAGGCTGACAACATGAACACTACTGGTGTTCATAAGAGAGATCATATAGCTGATTTGCTGTTGTAAAAAAAACCTTTAATCACATTCTGGAGAAAGCATTTATTTCATCGATTTAAGTTATTGTTCACTATTTCCTGGTACCATTTTTGAGAATATGTTTAAGAATTTATTCATCACCTCCATTTTCTCTTCATGCTGCTTCTTCTTTTCCTCTCTCTTTCCGCTCAAAAGCTCATACATGTTTTCTCTCTTTCTCTTCACTCCCTCACTTACATTAGGCTTCTTACTCAAACTGTTACTATTTTCACACACACTATTCTCACCGACACATTCATCATTCATAGAACTGTAGGTGGCCATGGGAGTAATATTGGGATTACCCCCAATGGCCTCCTCCATTTCCCGTTCATATAAAAACTCTCTTCTTCCACTTCCACTCTTGCCATTCACACTCTTGACATCCTTAAACTTTCTCTCAAGCTTTGCCCACTTTCCCTTTAGTTGACTCCAGTCAACGCTGGACTTGCACTTTTCAGAAAACTTCTTGGCAATAATTTGCCAGACCTTTTTTTTGGTCAAGTTTGACCTGTCAAACATGGCTTGGTGGTCCTGCCTTAAGCTAATCAGAAGTCT